GTCTCGTTTGCACTGACTTCACATTCCGATTTTCCCTCCTCTTCTGTGAAAACTCCGTCCTCGTTCGAATTCGATATATTTCTTGCCGCACGTTTCTTCTGCACGGCGCACATCCTTTTCTAATTTTCGACTGGCTCTTTCACCGCACACGTAATCTTCTATTTTATTCGCTATACCCTTCCTAATGCGATAGCTCGGTCCATACAAATACAGCCACAGCTTCACCTGTTTCCTATCTCGATTCACGAATCGAATGTTTTACCTCTCATTTAAAATTCTTTATCTCGCTCCCTCCATTCAACTCTCACTATAGAGACATTTCGTTTTTCGAGGTTTTTCACGATTCTTTTCGCTTCATTATTTAATCCTAATGTATCTATTTTCTTTTCATAATGTTTAATCATGTATCTTATTTAATTCAGTTTTCTTAATAAGTAATGTTTAAAAATCTAATTTGAATGAAAAGATAATAATATTTACGTTTAATCCCTATTTTTCAAGTAAATTTTTAATCTGTTTTTTTTTTGAAGTATATATTTTATCAGTAAAATACTGCTTTAAATATTAATTGTGTAATTTTAAAATTTTTCAAATATTTTTTGAAGAAAAAAGTAAAGAATTATTAATATTGAGTTGAAAGAATATATATATTTTTCTTATCATTGTTTTTTCTATATATAATTTAATATCGTAATGATAATTTCATAATTTTATAAATTAAAATTACTTATCAAAATTGCTTATATTTATAAGTTTAAAATTATTGCTTAAAATTTTATAATGATTTTTTGTAACTGACAACTTCTAAAATGATATTATCTTAATATTCCATAAACTCTAATCGTTTCTTTTAAAAAAACACTTCTGATCATACTTCATCATTATCACCTCTCATTCGTTTGATTTTCACGATTATACTGATACCGCTTCATTTCTCTCTCCGTCATCCCCATTCTCTCTATCCTTTCACCACTACCGATCATCTTTCCTTTTCCAACGCCCCTTATCTTTATTGTCGATCTCCGTTCAACCTGTTTCACTCATCGGCACAATCACGTGTTACATAGGTACATACATTCTACTAGGCTATTCGTCCCGATTCGAATTCTCGACCCTATATAACCGTGGCACGTTCTACGTGGGAATTTCAAATCTATCAGCAACCCAGACGAATGCAAATCGCGCATGAAGCGCGCTTAATAAAGCCCGCACGCGGCCCGCAACTCGCAATTTTCTTTTCGACGCTACGTGTCGCGCGCGCTCCTCTTAATGAAACCTTCGCATGCACTGTGCGAGATTCACAGCTACGTTTCCATTCAACACGCATCTCCACTTCGATACTATTAGAAAAAGAACACGTTCAGGATTGTTAAGATTCGTCAAAAAGAATTAGGCGATTTTATATTATCTTGTTGGAAAAGAATCGTATTTGTAGGAAGAAAAAGGTAAAATCCATTTGTAACAACTTTAAGGAGAGTAAAAAAAATTGCTTACAGAATTATTGCTTTAAGAAAAACATTAATTGAAAAAAGTATTATATTTTTACACAATAATTAATCAGTTAATCAATTGATAAATCTTCATTTTAATTTTTGAATTAGAATTTTTCAAATTTGGTTCTGATTTGTACCGAAATATTAAAAAAATAGTAATTTTTTTAATAATAAACAATAAAAAATATAATCTATTGATTTAATATTGAATATTATTAATCAAAAATATCATTTTAAATGCAAGGGCATATTTACATATTTGCATTTTTATTGTAAAATATAATCTAAAATCTATAATAAATCGTTTATTTTTTATTGACATTTACATTTAATGTACCACATGATGTAAAATTTTTTTAGTATTTTTAATTGTATTATTAATTTTAGTATATTAATTGTATTTATTGTATTATTTAATTATATATTACATCGTTAATAATTTATCAGGCTATCTTTTATTCTGAAAAAAAAAGAAATATGAACTAAAAATAGAAAAATCTAGCAAAAATCTATAACAATTTACGAAAATTATAGAGCAAAAAGAATACAATAAAAATATTATACAAATTTGAAGTAATAAAATTAAAAGAAATTCCGATTTCTTATCACAAATAAAAAATTATATTTTAAATTTCTTATTCATTCATGTTTTTAATAATTTATAGAATAATGCAAACTAACATTCATATTTGAAGTTTTATTTTATTTTTGTTAAGAAATCCCATTTCGTTTCATCAGACATTATTCTCACTAACTGTAAAAATGTATATGAACTCCTTTTTCTGAATAATGAATCTATTTCGAATTATTTTATCCAAATAAACGTCTCCTCAAAATTTCAAAAAATGTAGTGACGTGTGAATATCAATCTCGATGATCAGTATCAATAATCGAACTGGATAATGCTTTTTGACCAGGCATATTTCCAGGCGAAAATTGAATTTGAAGGAAACAGAGTCAAGAGATAAGCGCAGAGAAGCGTAGCAGCTATTTGCGTGGCCTTAATAAGGACGTTTGATGGCGTTGGCTTTCCCTTAACAAGCCGGCTAATATCCTGGGGCCTTGGCTCCCCTTGGTCTGTCTTCTCTGTCCCTATCTCTGTTCCTTCTTCTCGCTTCCTCTATCGACTTCGCTAACCTACCGCACGGTGAACACCGTCGGGAATCACTAAAGCTTGAAAACCGAACAAACTCAGTTAGAGAACTCGGTGTGAGGAGCAACTGGACCTAGCGGCAAAACCGAGCCTTCTCCGCATCTGCGATTCTCTTACGCAGCTTGCCACGTTTATAAACTGATTTTATTCAGTCTTAGATGGTCATTTAATAGTTCTAATTGTAATTTAAAAAGATCATATTAAAAACCATCTTTATCAAATCTTTTTCATTTTCTTTTAAGAAAATAGAGACATATTTTAAAATTTTTAATTTTCCTTTTGTAAATTTAAATTTTCTTTAACAAAATATTTGTGCATAATAATACATAAATGCTGTAAATATTATTTATAATTATAATGCAAAAGAACTTCATTCAATCTTCATTCAATTAGAAACTTGTTATGAATCTTATGATTTTTTATTTATTATTATTATTTATTATTATTTTTATTATATTATTTTTATTATATGATTATTTTTATTATTTGATTTTTTTTATAATGATATTCTATTAAATGTTTTCAAATGAATAAATTTAATAGAATATCATTAAAATGAATAATTTTAATGAATAAGAAATGAATAATTTTAATGAATAAGAATTTGGGCTGTAATGATAAAAAATTTAATAGTAATATAAAATGCATAAAATATAATATAAAAATTTATTTTATGTATATTTTTTAAAAATTCGATATAAAATAATTCATACGTATTTCTAGTAATTGCATATTAATATATGTACACATGTACAATAATAAACTTCGCTTTACTTGAATCAGCAGATCTAACTTATATAGAGATGTAATAAGAATGTTATCTATAAGAAGTATTATCTATAATATCTTAAATTTAAGTACTGGAACATGATCAAAGAAAAAGTAAAATTTCACAAATATTTGAAAATTTTAGTTTCAATATAAAATTTGACCTATTCAAAATGACATTTGCAGGAATATAACAAAACTTTAATTTCATTCTTTGCAAATATTAAATAAATTATGGATTATGTTATAACGCTATTAGGAAAATGTTGATTTCTCTATAACAGAAAAGAAAAAATTATTAATTCAAAAAAATATTTTTAATACTTTTAATATATAATTAATTACCCTTTTTTTTTTCAAATCGTATAATAAAAGACTTGCTGTTGTTGTCAATTCATTATTTCTGCCATTATTTTCAGTATTAGTAACATATTCATTTTTAGGTTTTGGGAGCCATCTAAAACATACGATATTTTAGAATAGGTTGCATATAATTAAATAGTTAAATATTGAGTAAAGATATATTATTTTTAACTTACGAATGAATCATTGGTGAAAGCAATTTTTTATCGATAGAAGAAACATCCGTAGGACCAGTCCACCAACTAATGAAATTACCTACGATGATGACAATTAATGTGCCTAAACCAGTGAACCAATGATATGACAATCGATAAAGAGGAAATACGTCATCTTCACTGAAAAAAAGACATTTTTATTTAGTACTTGTTTCAAATAAAGTAATAAACAGACCAATTTACCTCTGATTAAAGCTTTCAACAATAATTATTTAGAATTTGAAGATTCAATAATTACAATCAAGACTAAGATTAACTTACTTTGGACGATCAAATTGCTTCAAGAAACTTTCAGAAATATTGCCTTGGCAATGAGAAAAGAGCACCGGAAGTTTTTTAGGAACCAGCAGACCGGCACCGATGGACCAATTTGCACCTAAACTCGCCCAACCGGCGATTACGAATCCTACGATAGCACCCATGAATGCACCCTAATTGATAGAAAAAAAATGATTAAAATTGTTATAATTATTTATTGAAATACTATAACAAAATACTATAAAATTACGAAAATTTATTAAAAATTTATTAAAAAAAAATAATAAGAAAAAAATAATATTCCATAAATAATTTACCTTAGAATTTACCCATGGAAAGAACATACCTAATGTAAACACTCCAAAAGAAGTGCCTGCAGCTATTGCTGCTAAGCTTCCAGTTATCTGAAATTATATTGAAATAATATAAAAATAAAACTTTACCAAGAAATTCTTATTTTATAAAAATATTAATTGAAAAGATACTTACAACTAAAACACCTCCTAATTTTTCTACTAAAAATAACAATCCTATAGCTATACAACCAAGCAAAACAACCAAACATTTTACAAAAATAAAGGACCATCGGTCGCTTGGTTTCATACCGAAGCATCCTTTCACGAAGTCTTCTAAAACAACCACTGATGTCGAATTAAAACCTACAGAAAGAGTACTGAAGCAAAGTGAAGCACGATTTAATAAAAAATTATAATTATATTATAAAAAATTAAAATAAATTTATAACATTTACCTGAGAGCTGCTCCAAAAATTGCAGCAATAAAAAGACCTGGCACTCCATGTAAATGTTTTGCAATTTCCATTACGTAAGCGGGCAATAATTGGTCATCGGCAGTAATCAGACCAGAAGCTCTAGGATCGCATTTAGGTGGAGACCACCAAGCTACAAGAACTAGGCCACACCAACAGCATAATGATATGAACAACATAATACTGATAGTAAATATCGCTAATGATCTAAAATGAAATATTAAATAACATACAGAATCATTACAAATATAAACTAATATAAACTATCAAATATAAACTAAATATAAACTAACAAATAAACTATCATTAGAAATATCATTATAAATATAATTTTCTTTATATCAAAAATTAATTGTATACTCACTTACAGTTTGGACGTTTTCAAATCTTTCAATGATCTGTATCGTTGAACCATAGTTTGATTCACGGATATATAAGCGGTACTATAGAGCCATGAACCAATTAACACGGTCCATACTGTATGTCTTGTATAAGGAGATGGGTCAAAACTAAAGAAAAAAAGAGAAAAATAAAATAATCAACTCACAAACTTATCCCATTTTCTAAATACATGTATAAAATTAAATACTTCTTACTTCAAAAATTCAATTCTATTGGCATCCAAAGATCTCTTCCATATCTCAGCAGCGCCAATTTGATAAGTACCCAATATACTAACAGTGAGAACACCAGCGACCATGATTCCAACCTGAAGCGCGTCTGTCCAAACTACTGCTTTGATACCACCCTAGTAATCACATTCTCCAATTAAACCCACCTTTCATCTACATAACCATGATAGCCACGAACAATCGCGACTAATTATCCTTTCATCGAATTCCATCTCATCTATTACACTTAAAACAACGAAAAAATAACAATATACAGTACTATATTGTCCATTTGAGCATCCGCAATTGAAGAAAGAAAAAGAAATGAATATAAGTTACCGATACTCGATAAACACAGACTCAAACCATATTTAGTTCTAAAACAAAGATTCTAGAAATCTCGAGATGGAGATAGGGACGAACGAAATTTAAGTGGCTTCTTTTACTCATTATACAAAGTTTCTCTATAACAAGGGCTATCAAAACATAAAGGAAGAATTATCGAACGAGCGACTGACAAAAAAGTTTCACGCACACAGTTTCGGTATACGCGATCGTTAAGCGAAGGACAAGCTTGCAGACGGGGCAAAAGCGGTAATAAACAATTTTCCAAAGAGTCACTGGGCCGCGATAAATTTTCATTAATTCGCGGGCCACAACAAATTGCTTGAATAATTACAAGCGCGCGCGAGCATGCGATTAATCACTTCGGCGTTGGCTTTGTGATCTGCTAGCACGGGGAACGAGCACTCGACGTGCTCCGCGCCATTGTTTCCGCCGGGCCATTGTCGAGCTTTCAGTTTCCGTCCATAAACATTTCCAGTAGCCGGGTCCGCGTGAGAGATTCTTCGCGGCATTGTCCACCGAAAATTGTTTCCTACCAGCTACCGGCGCCCTCCCGTCCGAGGAACTCCAGTTATCCCCAGGAGAATTCGCTGAACCGGCGTCCTTGGAAAATTAGCTCGCATATATACCTAGACTCGAGACTTCGAATTCTCGGTCTCTACGGTTGTTTTACGCGCATCTCGTCACCGTACGCGATACATCTTGTTAACATCTCGCGAGATGAATCCGCCTCGTCACGATCGTTTAACACGATCACGTTCTAATAAAATCCGTCCAAGGATCTCAGACTTTGATATTGACGAAACATTATTGCCATCTTGGATTCCAAGATGAATTCAGAATAATAGGTTCAAGGTGATTTGCGTTTCTTGTAATACGATTTATATTGTCGAACGTAATATAATATATACAGTAATTCACGAAATTGATCGTTATAAAGAAATTTCGAAAGAAAGATAATTTTAATTTTAATGAATTTAATATTTGCAAAATATTAAAGCGTAATGAATTGTATATTAAATATTTTTGTGAAATCAATTTCCAAAATTTTCACATATTTTTATCATTCATTTTCAAGTTTTTTAAATGTAATTTTGCTTAAGAATTTTTATTATAATAGAATATTAAAATTTAAATAATTTTTAATATGAAAAATTTTATTCTATTTGGTACCATTAAAATTATATTTGAAAACTGAAGAAAGTGAAATTCTAAATAATAATGAATGATATTTTATTCAAAAAAAAAAAAATAAAGAACTGAGTTTTTATTTTTTCAAAGATATTTTT